GCATATCTGCAGAGTGCGTCATCTAATGGGGGCGGTGGCTCCTGGCCGTTGCAATCAGTCATCCTTTCCTCCTTCCCTTCTTTCAGGCTAACACATTTAAGAAATAAAAAATAACGGGAGAGGTGTATCCATCCACCAATCAATCATATGCATACATGTATGTGTTTAGTATCTGCAAAGCATTTCCACTCGGACACAATCTTCTCCATACGTGTACATCATTGCAGTTATAATAAATCATTGCAACATTGATGAATGGGAATACAGAGCGCCTATCCGTAATGAAATATACCGGCAGCGACTCGTGTGGTGGTGGAAAGGGAAAAAGACATCGCAACTAAACAAAACACCACAGGATTTCATAAATATGCCCCAACTGGTGATGTCCCCCTTCCCAATGGATTGAAAAGAATAACTCTAATCGGCAATCCCCCCCCGCCGTATTTCACATTCTATAAATTTTTCTTTTTTGTTGTTGTTGTTGCTGTTTTTTCACTTTTCATTGCATCAGCGGGAGCGTTATTCTTCTTCATCGTCCTCTAATCTACAGGCAAAAATAATAGGGGGGTCTCCCAAAATAAATAAACGCCACAGAATCGTAAAAGACCATTTAAATGAATAAATAATAAATAAATGCACCGAGACTTCTTCCGTCCTATTCTTTTGGTCCCGTCTAACTCTTACCACTCGGGTGCAAATCAACAAAAAAAAAAGAAAAACGCCAGCAGATACAATTTACCCATCAGCACCTACAAAACCACCAGGAGAATTGGCCACCGCGCCCTCCCATTCATCCATTCGGCCTCCATCTATCATCCTCAGTGGACTTCAGTTTTTAAAGACGCGTGCCACCGACTCTACGGGGATGGTGGTCGGGTACGCCTTCATTCCCGAGTTTCGGCCGCCGACCGTTGGAGATGCGCGCCGGACTGTTCTGACAGCTTCCCAGGCTGCTGAGGCTTGGCGCATGGAAGGTCGAGACGGGCGCCCCGGATGCGGGAGCAGAAAAATTGTTGTTACGTCGGAATGGAGACGACTGACGCGTGGACGAACTAGAAATGCGAGTGGGCAATCCCTGCTGCCCAGACACGGCGGAGCTGGACGCTGGCCGGGCCGGGGAAGAGCGGCGATGCGGCGTTGCCATGTGCCTGTCCATCAGATTCTCCACTTTTTTCCCTAAAATCGTCACAACGGCCTGAAGATTGCGACAGTCGGCCTCCCTATCGGCCAACTCCTGCGACAGCCGCGACAACCGCTCCTCAAATGTTTCGCGCTGCCGGCGAAGTTCCGCCTCAAAAATTATTTTCTGTCGAAGAAGCTCGGCACGAAAGGCATCAATATCATCCAGACTCATGGCCACTTCAAAGCGCCTACACCTTTTCAGGGTCCCTGCTTCCTTTCTTTCACCTACTCGGCACGGACGTTACAAATGAAAAAAAGAGAGCAACTTAAGGAAGCAAAATGGGGAGATACCCCGGAAGCGAACACAAACAGAAGCATAAAAAAAGTACACCCTCTATCTATTAACAACAATTCGTGCTACACAACAACATCTGAGTGCCAAAGAGGTGGTACAGCAGCGGCGTAAAGGACAGAGCCAGCCTCAGACACACCGTAATTATTGTCTGTGGCTGCAATTTAAAAACAATTGCAGCGTTGTCCCAAAGTACTCGTCACAATTATGTCCTCACCAATGGGCTTCCAAAAGCAGCGCATGCTGTACGGAGATCCGCAAATTCAGTTCGTTCACATCGCTTGTCGAGGTGACGGATCGTAACACGGTGTCCCTCCACGAATCGTCAACAAAGTCACATGCCGTTGGATTCATCCGCCGTCGGATCCACTTCAGGGAGTAAAGGTGCACACGTCCACTCCTCGCCGGGGCAAGCAATCCTCCTTCTCCTCCCGCAACGCAACCCGGCGGCTATGGGTGCGCCGAACGATGCTGTGGCCCTCAGAAAATATGGTCGTGTGCCGTTCTCCCCCGGCGCCAATTGTGCCCACAGCACCGTCGCACGGTGCGCCAACTCGTTTCCACCAACAGTGACAGCTGCACGACGTGTTGGGGAGGTGGCCCACGGCATCACCACGAGCGCAGCGCTGAGAGGAACCCATGCCGCGCGGCCACACCCGTACATTGATGACGATGTCCCGCCTGTGCCGGCCCAGAAGTCATTGCTTCCTGAGCCGAAATTCCTTTTTGTGTGTGTGTATAGGTCTCGTTGCGCAGCTTCACTCGGCACGTCGTGTTGCATTGTCCAGTCCAATCACGTTTGCGGCATCGTGCTTCATTGGGCGGGGGCGCTGCATGCTCCTTCTTTGCTCTCTGAAATGCCTGGGGGAATGGGCAGCCCCATTTCTGGGCACTTCGACAGCACGCTGAATGTCCTGGACCCGCGCTCCAGCATCGTTATTCAATGTCCGGAGGATCCATGTGACTGAGTGTACGCGGTCGCCCTGAAAACTGGCACGATTCCGTAAGCATCTCTTCCTCGCGGATGGCGCACGCCCAGGACGCACCGTTCTCCTCACGGCTGTCTGCATGACGGGACCTGGCGCGGCCGGCGTCGCAAAGGTGACCCAAGACGCATCCAGGAGCTGTGGCCAGGCGTTGCGTCCATCATGCATTTCAATACGCCGCCAAATGGTGCGACTGCGATCCTCCGTGCAAATCCCCGCCTCCCACGGATTCCCCACTTGGGCCCCCGTGTGCCGAGTAACAGCTCTAATCCCCCTCTGGCACGTCATGAATTTGCATGATCTTTCGATTGTCTCTGCCGTATGGGACGCATTCCAACTTCCCGTGACAGAAGCGGTGGAGACTTTTGGCGGGCCTTGCGGAGTGCTGATGGTCGCCAAGTTGTCGTCCCATTGATTGTCATGAGCAACCCTTGCAACGGCGCCAATCCAATACGCACCGCATGGAACCGCGCGTGGACATCTGAGCTGCACGCCAATATTTTTTAGCCTCCAACTGAGCCCGGGCACACTCATATGGGCCAGTGCAGCGCCAACTGCCTTCCTTCAAGTGCCGCCCACTTGCTCCAAACAGCGGTGTGCTTCTTCCTCTTCAGAGAGGCTCGAATGGACTCAGGGTTCCTCGGCACGGTGATGGCAGCCACAGAGTGTCGCAACGAGGCGCAATTCATCCCGTTGTCCTGGAACCGCCTTGCAGCTAGTTCACCGCCCGCTAATGGTGAGAACGCCGCCCACGTGGTGGCTCAATGGCGGGCTGGTCGCTGGGCAAAGACAAAGTGTCGTTGGACACACAACCTCAGAATGTGGTCGTGGGCGTGTGTGTCTCGTGAATGCCGTCCAATACATGAATCCACCCATAAATCTCTCCCTCAATGAATATGCTTTGCGCTAGGCTTCACAAGAATAGATAGGAGAGAATAATCGCCTGGACCGCTGGACGGATCCTGACTTTATCTAAAGAAATCAAGCAAAAGAGGGAAAAGGGGTAAGTGGAGAGGCAGCGGATTCGCCACATCCTCAATGTTTGCTCCAAGTAAATACATGTGTATTCGGAGAGCCACTCTCGTGACACGGCGCAGTCTATTCAGATTGGTGATGTTTCTTCCTTACGAAGTGGAAAATTTTGTGCCCATCCACAAGACCCCGCCGCGAGGTAGGAATCAAAAGAGGATGAGTGGGAAAGCAGAAAAGAAAAAAGCATTCGTCTTGCCGTTATCGGTTCCTCGACTCCTTCCACCGCGGTGTTTTATAGCATTCATAAGATGGGCAAGCATCGTAAATAAATATATTCGCCTTTGAAGGAGGATATATTAATCCAGACAACCAACCTCCCTCGCGATCATTCTCTTCACAAGCTCCCAGAAGAAGACATTATTATTGGGTGTTCCTCCAGACACACCTCCGTTCACACCATTCCTCTCACAACCATTAAAAAAAAAAAAAACGGAAAATGACAAACAAATTCAAAAGAAAAAAAATAATACGCTCCAACAATGCAAATGGCTTCTTTTCTATAAATGCTGCTCCACACACGCACTGTTTCTTTTGCGTTCTTAACGCACGATCCGGTTCAATTTGGAAAAATATTAATTTAACCTAAAATAAATAGCAGAGAAAAAATAGATGCCGCTCAGGACCGCACATATATATATATATATATTACTATCAAAGCATCTCTTTTCAATTGGGGATAAATGTGCCCGTAAGGAATTAAAAATGATTAAACAGGATAAATTAACAGTACTGACCAAGAACTGGCACATTCCCAATTGAACGATTACAACACGCGTTTTTTTACAAAATCATTAAAACATTGAAATAAAAATAAGAACCAGAATAATCAATGGAATCGGGGGGAAAGCTGACAGCAAACTGCTCACGTCTCCAGTTCCATTAATTGTATCGATGACAATACACACATCGTCGTACTTTGGACACAAAATCCTCCCTTTCATGAACAGCCCAGTTGGTGTAATACTGCTGCCCTCCGGGCATTTGTGCCACGCATCATCTCCAAGGTACCGCACGCTCACCTCACCCTTGTCACACGACACCTCAGCGCACACGTCACCAATAAAACCCATGAAATCGGCGAGTCCATCCCCCTTTAAGCACTTGGACGTCGGGCCAACGCGGCTCCCACGCATATCGGTTGCGTTCCCATCACTGCACCCAGCGTTGGCATATTCTTCAATGTAAGGGCAGAAGTCCATTAAAAGGTCGGGCGAACCGCCAAGTTTGGGATTCGAAAAGTACTGAAATTGTGGGGGAAGGGGGGCGTCGTAGAGTTTCAGTGCACAGTACCCCAGCGCCAGGCGATCCGATGTGCATGAAAGAAGGCGGCTTTCAGCGGTGCAAAACATCTCTGGATACTTTGTGACGCCATTCATCACGCATTTCTCCGTCAGCAGCGCGCAGCCGGAGTTGTTGCCCCATGACATCGGTTCCTCCATTCCCCAATTGGCCTTGTAAAACCCGGTGTCCTCCAAAGCAGCCATTGTCAAAGCAGTGTAGTAGCCGATTCCGGAAAGACCAGCCATCAGCTCGTCCTTTGCGTTGCGTCTCTTCCAATGCGACGATGCTGTTCTTTCCCCACCCTCGTCCTCCAGCTCCATGCCGGTAGCAGTCACGCAGTTGAAGTGCTCGCGAGTCTTCTCCACCGTCTTGGGTGAAGACACCTGCAGCACACTTGCTTTGCCGCGTACGTTCAAAAACTCTTTTAACATATTGCGTTCTTCCATTATCTCCAGAGTAAACCCAAGAGCATGTGCAATCTCATGCACTAAAGCACGAACACTGTGCTCCGAATCAGTGACAGACCTCGGGCCATAATTCACCACTCCGACAACAGGGCGTCCATCGGGTAATGCAGAGCATGCAACAGCCCACGCAAGTGTGGAACCCTTTATAGGGGCGGCGGAGACATACAGGTACATGTCCGCACCGAAAACACCCTCTGTGTGGTGAGAGCTGGGTATTGTAAACTGAGCGCATGCACCTGACAAGAACTCTGGTACAATAACCCTGCCCATGAGAGGTTCAACAAGTAGACGATCCGTGTGCATTTTAAGTGCTCGGGGAATAAGGGAGTTTAATATGATGGACTTTTTCTCCTCCGTCAAAATATCCCTTTCCTTACACTCAACAGTTCCCCCAGTAAAGTCCGGACGAATCTGCCCCTCGGCGGTGCAGTATCTTGAGGGATCGTTTAGATCCTCCGTGAATAATTGAAAGCGGACGGGCGCCCATTCGGGAGCCGAGGCAGTCAGCGCCCGCATCATGCCACTTTCCCGAGTTGGCAGCTCTAGCACCACTGCTGTCGTCCGGGAGCCAACCTTTTTTTCAATTTCATCGGAGATGCAGTGATGCTCTGCGACGGCAACAGAACCAGAGACGCAGCAGAGCAGCAGCACCAGCAATAGCATAGTGTGACGCATCCTTGTGTGTGTTTTCTCTTTTGGGCCTTTCACAGTGCACTTTAGCTGTTTGTATGCTTGTCAATTGGGTTACCTTGAGAGAAGAAATGAATGGATTGAGTAACTGGTGTAGGCTCAATAAAATACTGCATCAGTGAGTTATGGTAACTGCTGAAATACACATTGAATACAATATTACGAAATTATCTCGTCTTCTTCCACAATAAACAGGGTTACCTTCGTGAAAGACTGTCCATTCGCTTCACTGCTGTTGACTGGAAAATTCCCTCCGACGCATTGATGGATTCCGCCTCTTCCTCCTTTTTTCCTCTTCTTGACATTTCCTTCTGTTTGTCCCCTAATCTTACCAGCGCGTCTAGCTATACAATGCCATCTGAGTGCCGAAGAGGTGGTCGAGCAACGACAAAAGTTTCCTGCTGTAAAGCAGCTGCCATTGAGAGAACTTTCCGAGGCGAAGGTCCTGCTCAATGCCCAGCCGTTGGCGCACAGCGAAGACGCCTGGACATTCTGGAAGCAGATGGTGCAAGGTTTCCTGCGGGCCGATTGGCGTGCTTGTGGAAGCTGGCTGATCCTGCGGCGGCAGTGATCGCCGCCTGGCACTGCTGTTTCGATGTTGTGTGGCGTCTGAGTTGTGTGCGCAGCGATTTCTGTGCTGTGCGGTGTTTCTCCGTGTGGGGAAAACCATGTCACAGAAATCGCATTTGAGCTCGAGAAGCGGTGGAGGATGTTCCGGATGAAATGACCGACAGTGACTGACGAGACCCGAGAATCCCGTCAATGTAGAATCACAGTGCGGACATTTCTCCTTCCGACGGCGTGTGACGGTTTGTCTCCTTACTGGAGAGACGTCTTCCTCCCTCGCCGACGGGGGAACAGTTTCCGTCCCCGGTGCGGTTGGATCGTTGTTAGAGCGCATGTATGCAGACTGTTCCGGTGAGATGTTGCAGAAACGGCATTGGTTCGTGCAATCTCTCACGGCCCAGTATAGTCGGCCCCAGAGCTCAGATCCCCCACACCTTGCCCTTGCGAGGTGAACCAGTTCCTGACGGTGTGGAACTTCCTGAGTGATCAGGTCCTTACCGCTGAGATCTGGTGGCCTTGTACCGCAAAGCAAGTAGCGATGAGTGTCTTGACAAATGGTACTACGCCACTTGTTGGTGAACTGGGTAGTAAAACATGTCAGCAGATCCGTATGCCATAAAGGTGCGATTCCTTGCTCCGTGTATTGTCCACTTTCCATAGTCTGCGTCGCATGCTGATCTGCAAGCTCGTTAGCATGTACTCCGCAATGTCCGTAACAAAACTGCAGGTGCACGGACCAGCCAGCACGCGTCAGTGTCAAGAGACGCTGCCAGATCTGATCCTCCGTCCAGTCTGTCTGACTGAGCGGGCCCTTGTTTAGAGCCGCTAGAAGAGACTGACCGTCCGTAACCACAAGCAGGGTTTTACGCCTGTGGCGGATACGAGGGATCATCAGCTTCTCTAGGGCTAGAAGCAGCGCACGGGATTCCGTCCTGTAGCTGCATGGGCGTGCACCGCAGTTTATGCTGGCCTTTTCTGTTATCTCCGATGAGTTGAGGGATGAAAGCAGTATTCCAACCCCTGCTGACTTGGGAACGCCGACACCGCCATCGGTCGCAAGTATCCACGAACGATGGCTGTGCAGCGCCAGAGCCTCTTCGCTGACTCAGCGCTTTTCCCGTATCAGCTCTTCCTCGTCAGTTATTGAGTGGTCTATCGGAAGTTCCACGCCGATGGTGACCCGGTGAGCGGAGGCCGCAAACCAGGGAGGAATGGAGCTGCGAAAGAACCGCTCTTCGCGTGGTGAGCTCTCGGTGATGCCATAGTCCTTTGTGTATGCGTCTACAAAGGCATATAGCTCGTCCCGAGATAATGGCGAGATGCGGAGACCGGCGCGAGGCGGTGGCTCAGGCGGGGGTCTCCGCATCCAGTCCATCTGACATGCGCGTGTGTTCTCAAATATTGAGAGCCGTGCGCGCAGGCAAAGGACGTGGAGCGGCGGCATATTAGCCTCCAGTAGCGCGGATTCCGGGTCAACAGTGCTCGGAACTCCGCTGACAATGCGTGCTAGGGTTGCGTACGTCTTCTGCATCTCATTCTTCGCTGAATCCGTCGCTACTGCCCATATGAGCTCGCTGCCATAGCGTAATTTGGAAGCACCGTATCCAATGACGAACGTGCGTAGGTCATGTGGAGATGGTCCCGCCTCTTTGTGCGCTATGCAGCGTAGCTGCGATATCCGTTGCGAAGTGGCAGCGCATTGCTTGGTGGCCGCCACATTTAGCGTCAGTCGTGGATCGAGATCCATGCCGAGAAGCTTCGTAGTTCGCGACGCCCCCATGGTCATGACTGGGATTTGACATCCAGCCACTACCAGGGGCCACCTTCCTTCACGATCATAATCTGACTCCGTGTGCGTGGAGAGTGTGGACCAAGCGGCTTCACGCATTGACGGATTGTTGGCCAGGCCATTTTCCTGACTCCACGCATGCAGTCTTTGAAGAACCATGTTGGCAGTGGGAATGGCGTCTTCCCGGGACTGCCCCTTAACGATAATAGAGAGGTCGTCCGCATACATGTCTGCTGTGACACCCGCAAAGCTGTTCAGCAGATTGAGAAGTGGGTGTACGTAAAGGGAGAACAAATACGGTCCCAGCACGGACCCCTGAGGAACTCCTCGCAGCATGGGACGCCGATCGCTGTGTCTGTGGCCAACTCGTGTCTTCGCGTAGCGACCACATAGAAAGTTTCAAAGCCACCTTCTACAATTCACCCCCGGAATATTAGCCAGCAAGCGACTGAGGACTCGATGATCTATGGAGTCAAAAGCCTTGCTGAAATCAACCAACACCAGCAGGGTCCGATGGGGTCTGTAGTGGAGTTGATTGCCAATACCGTTCTTCTTGGGAAGGTTCACTTGGAAATAGTGATTTCTATTATGCTCCACTTCGTGTATCAGGTGTGCCAGCTGCATCGTCGTAGTACGCATACTACGATATGCATACTGGTGGGGGTGCGGCGTCCACACCCAAAGCAATCTCTTCAGTACCATTTTCTCAGCAACCTTACTCACAATGGAGGTAAGGCTGATGGGTCGATATGACTCAAGCAGTTCCGGCGACTTACCGGGTTTTAAGGGTGGAACGATGGTAGCGCGTCTCCACTCAACCGGAATCGTACCGGTCGTCCAACTGTGGTTAATGCAACGAAGAAGGAATCGGAGGCCCTTTGACGAAATATGTCGCAGTGCCTCACTGTAGACTTCATCCGGTCCGGGGGCCTTGCCATACGGCGTATTATGTAGCGCAGCATGCAGTTCCGTACGATTAAAAGGCGCATCAAGAGGGGAGTGAAGATGAGCAACTAAACCAGATGTGGTGGCAGCTTCGTTTTTATCCTGCGGCTCAGAGCTAGATGAGAGTGAAGAACCTGAAGTAGATGTAGCGGCAGACTCGTTGTTGTTCTGCGGCTCGGAGCTAGAAGAAGTACAAGATATTGATGAAAATGTTGCGGCAGATTCGTTAGTTTTCTGTGACCCAAAAATAGGAGCATTAATGTTCAAAGATGCACTCTGTCTGTTGATGCCTTTGGAAAACCTAACTGCCTTGTGAGAGGGGTGAAATGGAAAAAGATGCGATTGAGAGCATTCGCTGCTCTCCTTGCTGTTTTGTAAGTGTGTTGACCACCTCCCAATAAAATTGATGTGGGAGATGGAAGTGATGCCTTTTTCCGTCCGGAAATGTATTTCCATGCGAGTGGCTCGCCTGGATTTAACTTGCTGATGCGGCGTAGATACGTGTTGCGCAAGCGCTCTCGGAGCAGGAGGAAGAATTGACTCCTTGTCCGTTGCATTTCTGCCTCACGGTCGGGCGTCGGTAACTGTAGATAGCGGGCCTTGCTGTCGGTAGCAATCCGCTCTGCCTCCATGAGAGTGTCGTCCCAAAGCCTGGGGCCGTCCTTGTGCATGCCGCGGGGGCAATGCCGTCGATACGAAGTTATAAGCGCTCTCGTGAAAGCTTTGATGCCGGTGGACTGCTTTTTATAGTCGTATGCCGGAAGTTGTGCGTCGAAGTCCTTGATGAATAAATCCCACTTGCACTTCCCCCAACTGTAGAAAAACTTAGGTGCCGAAGGGGGTGCCGAAGGTATGGTATCCTTAAATGCCTGATGCAGCGTAAATGTCAGCATATAATGATCACTAAGCGGCGACACGGAAGCTGACCAATCCGACACAGTCAAATGCTTTGACCATGTCAGATCGATACAGGATCGTTCTCTTGTGCCGCGGGCATACGTGATCCCACCAGGGGTGTTAACCAAGGTGAGTCCCGCATCCGTGCACAGTTCTAAAAATTCTGCAGCAACCTCGCTTGGAGAAGACTCCAAGAATGGCTCCCACTGTGAGTGATGCATGTTGAAATCCCCACACAGCAGGAGCGGCGACGAGGCTGGAAGGCAGTTTACTAACCGCCTGAAGGATTGCGTTACTTGCGGTGGTGCTCTCATATAGGCACTCGCTACAATAAGATCACGGTTCTGCTCCAGAGCAACCTGGACCACCACCACTTCAAGGCTGGTGTCATGCTGGGGGATGGTGAGAGGTATACGCTTGGAGCGGAGAGTTTTCCGCACCAGCACCGCCACACCGCCTCCCTTTCCGATGCGCGACTGTGCATAGAGCACATAATCTCCAGTGTGCATGCTGGCGATCTGCTTTGACGACTTCCAAGTCTCCTGAATGGCTATTATGTCTACTCCTTGCGCCATTAATGTTGCGAGTTTTGACGGCGTGAGGCAAGAAACGTTCATCTGGAGTACTGCTATGGGGCCTGGGTTCTGCTCAATGTCTCCGCTTAGCAGTAGCTTTTGTCGTTGCGCGTCACATACGGCACGCAAACGGTATGTGTAGCGCTGATAAGCGCCGATGGAATTCAGCAGCCGATAGAAATACCGCTCAGCGGGCAGCCATGTAAATGGCTCCATCTGGTGCCCTTCCGACCCGTTTGTGCGGCGCCTCCTGCCTCTCCGCGCGCAGCGGATGGGCAGCAGGCGCTTAGCTTCCTCTCTAGCAAAGAGTACTAGACCCTGGCACCACGTTGAGGTGGCCGGCTGAGCCAGGGCTTCTTTGTTGTCGTTGTTTTAGAGGTGTTATTCCTTAATTTAGCCGTCATGCATCGTTGATGTTTTCCATTACTTGAGATCATACCGATTTTGTGACGTCCTTCTCTCTTTACTCCTTGCTCTTTTCCTTCACCTTTGTGTCGGCCATTAGTTGTGAGTGAGAGTGCTCAATAGACGTCTTTCATGTACCTACGATCCTGTTCCATTTTTCTCAAAAACTCAGACGCTGCAGACCGAGTCATGCCAGCGCACTGTAGGACCTTCAGCAAGGCCTGTTCCACGCTTCGCGCCATGCGGGATGCATCCCCTGAAAGGTAAAGAAGGCAACCGCCCTTTTCAGTCGAGGTGAGAAGTTGCACAAGATGGTCCTTGTGCTTCTCAATAAGATGGGTCACGTAATACTTCTCGGATTGATCGCGACTAAACGCCAAGTCAAGAAGGCAAAGCAAGGAAGATGGGAGTGCATCCGGGGTCTGAATTTTTCCCTCTTCATGGAGGCACCAGCATTCCATCTCTTTCCTAACAAAATACTCCGTCGCACGCCTCTGCGCCCCAAAGAAAAGTATCATGGTTCCATGCGCAGCACCTGGATGCCTCTTCATTAATGCCTCGCGCCGGTAACAGAACCCTACCATGGGCGCAACGCCGGTGCCGGAACCAATCATCAATATCGGTCGCCCACCGCACTTCGCGGGAAGATGAAATTTTGATTTACGAATAAAAGCCGTAACCTTTTCTCCAACGGCAATGCGCCCCAGATACTGTGAGGCCAAGCCTTCAGGAATGATACGGATAAATGCCTCCACCGTTGTGGGATGTGTCATCATGTCCGATGCAATGGAATATAATCGCGGCTGCATCCGTGGCATCATCTCCACAAAGTGTCCAACCGGTATGCAGCAGCAACTGGGGAATTTCTTTAGATAATCCAGCAAAGTATGGCAGTGAGAAGAGGAAAAATAAGTTTGGGAAGGCATCAGCAATGATGTTGGCATGGTGTTTTCTCCATCCTTGCCATTTTCCTTCACGCCCCGATGAAGTAACTCCGTAAACAGGGACTTCTCGGCTGGGTCGGAGCAATATTTGGATAGAACTCGCAGCAGGGACTTACGCGGCCTTCCACAGAGGTCCAAGTAGCGCTCAAACACCGTCCTCAAGGCAACACAGGCAGGAAGTGAATTTTTCAATGAAGCCCGAGCGCGTGCATTCGTGGATGCGCAAAGTTCTACAGGCGTTAACCATTCTTCTTCAGTGATCTTCAATAGGCTTCGATACGCCTCCACCACATTGGGTGGATTGGCGGGATAAATAGCCAGATGATCGCCAGCTTGATAACTCATCGTGTACCCCTCAATGTTCAAAACTAAATGCAGGATGAAAGAACCATCTTCACGCCGCTCAGTACGTGGCGTCTTGGCCTGCACCCTAAACTCGGCTGGAAACTGCATGGACGGTTCAAGAAGAGAGGGCGGAGGCGGATAAGGCGAAGCGCCGACATGCTTCTCCGGCGCAAACCGAAATACCAACTGTGGTTTGGGCGGGAGATTCGAATCCGCCGTGAATACCACCCCGCATCGCCTCTCAAACGCCTCCATCAGCTTTTCTTCCCATTCCTCAAAGACATCGTCCCGCAACGGATTGCGTGCATCCCCAAATCCAGCCGGCAGCACCTCTGTTCCTCCGCCCCTTCTCAAAAGCGTTTTCACCTCCAGCCCTCCCCGACAATAGTACTTGTAGGAACTATCCCCCAGAGAAAACACAGCGTACATTAAGCCATCAAACGGCTTCGTTCCATTCTTCAATGCCCCCTCCAAAACAGACTGCATTTCGGAATAAAGGCAAAGGAAGTTTCCTGGTACCTCCCCCTCTCCTGTGGTGGAGACAACAAACACCAGAATGGGCGATTCACCGCTCGTGCCCAATCTAAAAGGGTGTTGCCCGTGGTCTTGGTGCGATTTGTACTGACCGAGGTAATCCCAACACGAGGGGTCGATAAGTGCGACGGCAACGCCTCGTTCCCTCAAATCAGCCACCAGGCCTTTGGCATAGGCCTCGGCGTTGCCAGAAGTAGTGCCGTAAAAGACCAATATCCTCGCGTCTTCATCAGACTGCTCGCTGGGCAGCTCCGTCTGCTTCCCCAGAAGTGCAGTATACTTGGAAACAAAGCTAGCGTCATAAACGTAAGCGACATGACGTGATCTCCACACACGTGCCACTAAAACCACACCAGAGATGCCGGCAACAACAGCTGCCACGGCAATCCACCTACGCAACATTTACCCTGTAGAACATCCCCAAAAAAGGATCATTCAATAATAATAATAAAAGAAGAAAAAAAAACAGAATTCTTTTTTTTTTTTTTTGCGTGCGTGTATTCGACCCGCAATCTCGCTTTCACACGCAGATGCACAGACGGCGTTTTTGTTTACTTTCACGTTGGTATTGTCTTTTTTTTTCCCTTCCGTTGGAATAATCAAAGAAAGAAAGAAAGAGCGTGATGCATTCCATCTCACCTTCCCTCCTTTTTGGTTTGCCTTTAACTCCTTGTATATATATATATACACTATTATGAAGATTTACACGATTAGTTCGCGTCATCCCCCTCCTTTTCCGTTTTTCTCCCAAAGAAAGCCACTCAGACGGGTGTCGTTACTTCTCCGGGTTGCGCATCTTTCGCCTCACCGAGGCTCGTAGCCCTGATGCTGGCCGGCCCCGTTTTCCCTCCACTAACGGTCGCAGATCCTTCGGTATTTTTTTGCGTGGGCTTGTCACGACGCCCATCCATGAAAACTCTCCCTCAGCGTTGGCATGTCGCTTGGTGCCCTTTTCTTCCGCACGCAACTTCTTCGTTTTCTTTTCGTCATTCTGGCCACGGCCGGCGGCTGCCTGCGCCTCCCTCTTCCGCTTCTCTCGCCGGCTTGTTTTGGTCGCGCTCACCACCCTTGACTTCTGCACATGGACAATCCGCATCTCGCGGCCGTTCAAATGACTGCCACGGACGGCAATGGCCCTCGACACGGAGGCAGGCGAACGGAACTCAACGTAACCAAACCCCTTGCAGCTGCCCGTGTCACGGTCTCGGACCAGGCGTACGCGCCTCACATCTGTCACCCCCTTCTCCAGAAAAAAATTCCACACCATTTCCTCATTTGTATCGTAGGCAATATTGCCAATAAATACAGATGTTTCCGGGGCGTACTCCCGGCTCTTGGCGTCCATTGTGGTAACAACAATGTGGCGTCCATCTACAACAACACCATTCATTTCCAAAGCCTTCGTGACGGAGCCCTCATCCTTAAATAAGACATACGCCACCGCACTGTACTGGTCACCTTTCTTAATTTCCCCACGCAGGACACGTATGGCACGGCCCACACTCTTATGGCGATTTTCATTCCTACGACCCTCCTCTCCACCTCCTTCCAGAGCCTGCGCCCGAATCCGAACACATTCAATTGCTCCACAATTCTTAAAAACCTTTTCTACTATCCGTCGCTTAACGTCATTCACAAGATTCCCAACAAAGACCGTACGACTCTCTTCCTCCTTGTTTTCATGAAGTGCATGCCGCAGGTGCTTATTGGATTTTATTCCCTTTTTCTCCGCAGCCTTCCCCACCCCGAGGTCCTCCGTAAGGAGCACCGTCTTGAAGGGATCACCACCCGCCTCCTGCCTATCCGAACCTTCGGACCCTTGCGTGCCGTCTTTGTCTGCAAAAGTTTTTTGTAAACGAAGACGTTGCTTTTCTTTGCGTGTGGGCTTTTTAACCTGCGGTGCCAGCGCAAAGAGATCAAAGGCAGCCTTTTTTGCCGGTGCGAACGACAACGGCATCCCTTCAGGGACATCCCTTTCATTCTTTATTCCCGCCGCCGAGGACGGACCGGGTAGTCCAAACAATTCTTCCGTCAGTGACATCTGTGCTCTTGAATCCTACTTTTCCCCCTCCTCTTTTACTTCAGTGACGGCTCTGCAAAACAAAAGTAAAATAAAAAAAGAATAAATCAAGTCAAGAGAAACGATCAAGTTGCCGTGGTATCCATCAGTGCATCTTGCTGGGTAAGGATCGCTAAAACAAGGAAGGATGTATTGAATGATTATATCCACACAATACAAATCCTCATAAAAATTAAATTCCCTCGCCCTCATTCCTCGCCGCATGTTTTTAAACAAAAAAAAAACAAAAAAATGCGGCAAACACAAAAAATGACGCTAAGAGAATTAAGATAGAAATAAACACAAGATGAGCATATGCATTTATTTCTACACAGAGAAAAAAATTCAAAAAAGTTTCTACGGTTCACCCCCAGCCATCTTGTACGTCTTTTCCAGACGTACACGCAGGTTTTGAAGCATCTCGCTTGCACTGACGCAACGGTGCTCGTCTGTTGGTTGTCGTTCCCGTCCTGTCGAGGACGCCGACTCCTCGTGACGGCGGGAATTAGGAGAAAGTGAGGGAGCAGAGGCACCTTGTTGGCTCCTTTTTTCTTCCACGGAAGGTACTGTGGGGACTGAGATCATCGTGTCTCCCTGTAAAAAGGCCTGAAGAGCGTCGCGCGGCTCCCCAGCAACCATAACTGTATCCACAACACGTGCAAGGACACTATTGGTATGTGCCAACGTATGCAGGCCCATATCCAGCTGTCGCTGAAGCCCATCGGCTCGTTCACTAAGTGTTTTCAGTCGTTGCTCCAGCGTTTCCACCACACGTGCATCGCGGCATACAAACCTAAAAGCATAGAGGCGAGAAAAGTAACGTCGCGCCAATGCAGCGAGGTTTGCGTGATGCAAATGGGGAATAAGACGAAGAACACGACGTCGTTCACATCGATTCCGAACGAAATCTTGCCATGCCCTCAAAAAAGAACGCGCCAATCCGCGAGACAACTTCACTCGCAACGCATCTAACGCCTTCAGACGCATAAGGGGAAGTCTACACCACCGATGTGCGTCAAGCCACCTCTCAAAGTAGCGCCTCGCCAGTATTCGAGCAGTTTTTTGCTCCAGCCACAGGGCCTCCCGGGCCCGGCACCTTGCATCCCTTGCGGCCGCCACAAATTGTGCCCAGGCGTACAGATAACGGCGCGCAATGCCGCGACAAGTTATGTGAAGCATCGTGTCTGAAATGTCGTATGCGGAAATGCGCCGATTTGCGCGAGCCTGCGATTTGAACGCCACTACCTGAACCCATTTGCACCAATAACACATCATGATTCGACGCCCATGTGCCGCAGTCAATCCCATGAGATGACGCCGCCAGGCAGCCTGCCTCCTCCGGAGAGCAAGAGAGCGGCTCCACTTCCTCATGTATCGTCGCCAAATTTCCCTCTGTGTCTCTTTCAATAAAAAGTGACTTTTGGCTCGCAATTTCCGAAGAAGCCACCATTGACTATAGAACGCAGCCATTAACTTTTTCCTCGTCACCTCACTAAGCCGCGCAGCAGCATAAAACTTCTTCTCTCTCTCCACCCGCCAAAGACGACACTCCACATTTGCCACGGCATCCGCCATCGTTGGCATGGGAGGCTGGCCGTTGTAGTTGATGGGACGCACATGAATTTGCAGGTCCTCGGCGAAGCTCTCCAGAACGCCGTCGTGTTTCTTCAAACCGCACTCGTTACGGTAAATCCTCTCCTCCGCGTCACGACGCAGGCTCTCCAATTCCTTCTGCTGAGAGCGTATCAGCCGCATCATGTCTGCCAGAACTTCGGCAAGCGGTGCCCCACCGACATGCAGCTCTAACGATGGAGCGCCGCTGCCCTCTAAAAAGACGCGGTCAGCACTCATCCTCAGCCCGAGTGTCGAAAAAAAAAAAAAAGAGAGACCCTTTTGCAGTCACCACCAGCTTCGGCTCCTTCACTACCAGCACATTAAAAAATGGATAGAAAAGAAGCACAGAAACACGTCGTCCATAGCGCCAAACGCACACAAAGAGAGAGAGAGAGAGAGGGATAGGGAGAGACAGTAATGCTTCTATTTGTTTCCTCGATCCCAAAGTCCCTCCTTCCTTCTCTTTAGTGATCGAATATTGTCAAGCCGCATTTGTAAGGACGCCAAAAAAAAAAAGTAAAATTAAGCTGCTTCGCAGACTTTTTAATCTTTTACTCATCGTCCCCTCCCTATTCATTCACTAAAAAAAAAAAAGAAGGAAGGACATCCACCGCGAGAAAAGCCCTTCACTCAATAAACTCTTCTTCTTCTTCCCCAGTGGCGGGTTGACGACCACGCCCTTTGTTTACTCGCTTCTTGAATTCCTCATGGGCTTCATTCCACGCCCTCTGAAACTGTTCTCCCCGCAGTGCCTCACTGCTGCTCCTGTCAACGAGCGTTCGAGTGTCAACTGTCGTCTGGTCAGTAACAAAACATCGGTCCCACCAGAGTGCCATCCCCACCGCCACAGACTCCTTGACCAGCTGCACCACCATGAGTCGCAAAGACTTACTATGGAGCGAGTGCAACTGCCAACATCCCTCCACAACGTCATTGTCAACCTTTATAGGATACCTGAAGACACACCGGCGATCCCCCTCAACACCCTTCACACCAAACGTCAAAACACACACAGATGTGCGATCTGGCTGTTCTTCGGAATACAGACGGAAGTTCATTATCTCCTTCGCTCTCGTGTTCATGGAGGGAAGTATGAAACTCACAGAGGCTGTGTCTCGTGTCTGTGACCAGAGGTGTGACTGCCCCTCACGCCCACCATTGCGTGTCAAATTATGGTACATCATCTCATCTTCTTCCGCCTCTTCAACACCCCTAACATCTTTTCGGGTGTTTTGTTTTGAATGCGGTCCCATCACCGACGCAGTATTCGTGGTGGTTGTAGCGGCAGCGGCAGTGTTTTTGTTTATCGTCGCATCAATTCCCTCCTTGAATGGGGAGGTCGTCGCTATTGGGGGTGTATTCTCCATGTGGACACCATTGGGGCCAACTGTGACGCGTGACGGGTACCTTAGCCGCGTAATACGCGGCTCGTTGCCTGGCGTCTCATCACTCCCGTCGGATTCATCGCTGTCACAAAATTTTTCCCATTTCGAGTAGTCAATACCCGACATCATATCACTCCGCTGTTTTGTCTGTCGTAGAGTCATAAATCAAAGGCAACAGCAACAAGAAAAAAGGGGGAAAAGGAAAAACCGATGAGAGAGAAAAGCTCGAGACACATCTATACATATATGTATACGAACAGAGATGGCAAACGCGGTAGCAATAAGCGGTGCATTTGTGTCCACTGCTGTAGAGATACGAGTAAATCACAAAAAAAAAAAAAAAGTTCAACGGCAATAACTAAAAAAAAAAAAAAAAGTCATTTTGTAAGTGCCGCCTATTGTAAATTCTACTGGCGTCGCAATAGAAAGGGTGCAGTCGGCCAAACAGAGGGGCAGGACGGTTTGCCCTGTTGGGGATGATTAATAATCCACCTTCACATAGGCGGAACGGCAAAGCGGGCAACAAGGGATAAGTACGGCATCACCCTTCTCTATCGCCCTCATCTCCGTATAGTGCTCAAATGAAGAAAGACATGCATCATGGAAGCAGTGCCCACAACTCAACAAAAGGCCGTACCGCGGTTCTCCCGGTGTCTTCCCAGTCGTCTTCATGCAACCCGCACGACTGTTGCTATTTTTGCTTGATGGGTTCGGCGGTTGAGATAGACGTGCCGCGGACGTGCTTGGCCGACATTCAGTCAACTTTGACTGCGCCTTTATATTGACGCAATTACTACGCCTGCATGCCACCTTTGAAAGTCGCTCCCCCCTAATTTCCGTGTTACGTCTTTGGGCCATGCGGGCATCGTATTCTCTTCGAAAAGCCGCAACGACATCTTCTCCGGTAACGCCCTTCTGAACATCGTCAGCATGCGGGTTCCGCTGAATAGCACAGAAACAGATGGGGCAATCCAAGCCGCCCGTCGCCACCGCTCTATCCGCTCGCTCACGAAGCGTATTCCACTCCTCTCTGGTTGTGCACTGCGCAAGGGCACGCTGCAGGCGGAGGCCGATGTTATCTAACATGGCGGACCGCTCCTTTTCACGACGCTCAGCGTACGCGGCGTATGCGTCGGACAGCCGCGTCAGACGTTCCCGTGCATACTCACCAGAAAAGTCGCTGTCATTCTCCAGCCGTAGCTTCAAATAAGCCTTTCGCGCCAAGACCCGACGAAAAAAAGCCTGAATTTTCACAATGGCAGCACGCTCCGCCATCGCCTTGCCTGCATAGAAAATACGCTTGTGATAATGCCTATTCCGGCAGACAGGGCAACAGAGACGCTTTGCACCCCACTTGTCATGTGATCGTCTCGCGAGTTTTTCAAAACGACAAAAGCACTGCTCATGAAAGACATGTGAACAGCTTAATACTATCTGCCCTTGCTCCATTGTGGCGTAAAAGGGCTCCTGACATATGCAACAAACATTGGCTCCAAGCGGCATCGCAAAATTGCGGCGCACTGCGGTGCCTTCAATTCTCCGCCAATCTTCTTCGGTGGGAGCAGGCGGCGGCAGTGGCACAAGTCCCATTTTCTGCGCAAGCGTCAGCCGGCCTCCAGGGAGCGGCGGCGGCGCCTCCTCTAATGTTGGCAACTCACTAGTCAGCAACGCCCCACGAGCAAAATGCTGCTGAAGCGCGACAGCACTCCAAATTTGAATCTTTTCCTTGCGTCTCCTTGTGCGCAGTTTGGAGCCAAGTGAGGGAAGTCTGCAGCCCTCCGTGGACATGGAAACGCTCCTACGAAAACAAGAAAGTGACAACAATGAGAGCAAACACAAAGAAAATAAAGTCGACGTGAGTCCGTCCACATGCACATTCCCACTCAGGAACAAAAAAAAAAAAAAACCCTCAGAGCTCGTTAAGTTGTAAGAGCAAGTAGAGACAAAAAAACAAGCCAACAAGGAACAAACACACAAAACAGACTTCCAGTGATGCATGAAACGCCCATGGTCCAACTGACGCGTCAAAACTGTAGAAAAAGGAGAGTTTATTCCCCACCGCGCTGCTCATCCTCCGCCTTGCCCCGCCTCGTCTCACCCAAACACAAGGGTAAAGATGATAACTGCCGTGTTGACAATAATCAACGGCAACCGTAATAACGTACGTACACCACTCAGTACAGAGGCAAGTTGTGCCTTCCATGGGGAGGGCTGCCGCGCCCGCACAAATTCGTCCCCGGTGCCAAACGACTGAGGCACGTACCCCGCGTCGCCGCCATGCTCAGTCAACGGAGTTGTGGCGAGGCCATACTTCGAAAGGAACCGCCGTTCTGACAAGATGGCCATGGCGTTGAGACAAAGGAGTAACGCCTGCAAAATGCTGGCAACAGAAAACCCCATGATACCTGAATCCTTCATAAAAGCAGGCAAAACAAAAATAGGCAAGAAAATGACAACAAAAAGAAAAAAAAATGTGTTCTCGTCGTGTTGAGATGCCCAACAAACCCACAGAGAAGAATTTTTCCCAAAAAGAGCAACAAAACAGCAGAAACAAACAAAACTGAATGCGGTAAAAAAAAAAAATACCAATAATAACAATAATAATAATAAATCTGGGTAAGTGTCACCTGCTCAAGAACCGCCTGCCGCTTAGGCAAAATAAAACCACAAACAAATTGAAAAGATAACTTGAGGGGGTTCCTTCTCCTCTTGTCCTCATTTAATCCCCCATCAACACCTCGGATTTGGCGTTGGACGACTCCCCTTCCGTTTTTTGCGCACAGCCGCCAATCACAATGCGAATGTCATCTGTGGGTTGGAGAACGTCTCCTGGGTCCAGACGCACCATGTCTCCAAGTGCCCATTGCTTCCCAATAACACGAACGCCGTTACGCCCATAGTTCATAAGCCAGATAAATTGACCCTCATCACCATTTTCCCCGTTGCCGTCCACTTCATGCTTCACCGCAGCACCTGCATCACTGGCACTCCATGGAGGCTTCGCTGAAAGCACCGCAAGAGAAAAATGATGCGGTGAGAGAAACTCGGGGTGGTTGGTAAAGGCAGAGAGCCCAACATGAACGTTTGTCACAGTGCCATGTGCGGCACTGGTCACACCAGCGCTTCGTCCAAAGTGCATGAAGCGTCCTCGCACCGGGATCAGTTCCGAGGCTGCGGTACTGGAAGAAGTCACTCGCAATTCCCAGTGGTTATTTGAGGCATCTTCTACTGCCGATTGCTTCCATCCAAGATCCTCCTCAGGATCTAACATGGCAGCGGGCAACTTTATTGGGTCCACATGAGGCGCTGTCTCATTTATTGAGCCCGGTGTAAACTTTTCCGTTTGTATTCCGCGTGACTGCAGTGTTTGCCATGGACGACGATAGAGCGCACTCAGAGTTTCAATAAGCTCGATCCGTTTTTCCACATTTTGCTCTGCAGCAGAGACAAAGACACCAGGTTGTAGATCAACATGTGTGCCCCACGGATCATCCGAGGGCCGCAACGCACCAATGTCTACTTCCGCCGTCTCAGCTTCGCGTGGTCGTGCAAAGCTCCGACACCCGTGAAGCGTATTCTCCCCTTTAACATCGGACAAAGCTTTATTGTTGGCTTCAATAAGGGTTCTCCAGGCAAGGACGTTGATAAAATGATTTGACATGATGGCTTTTGCCTCATTATCGTTTAGTTCAGCACGATCTTTAAGCTTAATCAGTTCCTCTATGATGGATCCAGAAGAAAATTTACCCCGCTGCAACATCTCGGCTGAGAGACCAGCAACCTGAAGGCGATCTGCGGCCAACAATGAGGCCAGTGTCGTCATGGGTGCTGCAGAAGCAGGATTTGTGGCCGGTGTCGTGCCATCTGCGTCCCCGCCCTGGGAGCCCCCTGTATCGTCCCGCTGTTCCATTTGAGGCAAATGAAACAACTCCGCAATGTTAAGAGATGAGGCTTCCACATCAACAGCGCCTGAGACCGCGTCACTAACGGAGAATGGTGCCGTGTCTTCTGGAACTTTGGGAAGTAGCTCCGGAAAAAGATACATGGGCGGTTCATAGCTGGTGGATCGCTGCAAGACCAATTCACATTCCCCCACTAAAGGCGTCAGCGATTCCGTGCCAAACCGCGACCCATCCATATTTTTTTCTTTATTCAAATTTTGAATTCTTATTCTCGTTATTCCTTTTTTTTCCGTCTTCCCCCCCTCACTTCTTGCACGAGAATGAAGACAACGGAATTGGCGCCGTCACAGGGAAAAGCTGGGAAAATAAAAAATTACTCTGTGCGAGAGGTTAAGAAAAAAAAAAGAAAAAAAGTGACAGAGAAAAATGGCAAGAGAGGGAAAAAGAAAAATGTTGTCATACAAATTGAGCCTAAACACAGGGAAATGTGCACCTGCAGATAAATATTAAACTATTATGTTGTTGTTGTTCCCAAGTATCAGCACCGCGTTCATGCTACCATGGACCACCAGAAAGTTCATCGTGTGGGCCCACCATATTTGCAAAAGGATTAGATTTCAGTGGGGCAGAGCGTCGTGCAGCCCCTGCGGGAGACGCCGATTCCATGTGTCTTGCCTCCAATTCATTCCCACGCACGCATCCATCAGGGGGCTCATCAGAAAACAAATTTCTTTCCATAGATGCTAATTTTTCCACCGGCTCCTGCAGTCCATTCGTGATTCCCAAAGTTCTTTCAAATGGTCTTCTCGCTGGCTGAAGGTCACTCTGCTGCTGCTGCTCTTGAGGGGGACGCACTGATGGTGATGGTGATGTTTGAAAGCCATTTGGGCCCGTCGCCTCAAACAAACTGTGCGAAGGTTCCGCTGGCGTTATCTGTTCCCCTTCCGCAAAACCCGCGTAATTTGTTGCAGGCAATAAGTTCACCTCCCCACAAATTGCCTGCGGCGCCTTTGTCGATGAAAAAAAGGAGTACGGGGCGGATGGGGGAGGCAGTGGCGGAGGTGATGGTGACGGGTACGTCTTTCCCAGGCCCGTGTAATTCATGGGGAGGTTCTCCTCGTCCAACTCGGCGACCAGAACAAGCAGGCGGTCACGCTCTTCCGTCAGCTTTTCAATCTCACGACGAAGCTGCAGAACTTCTGCGGTGTTCGACCGATTCGCGCGGGCCTCCCGCAGCTGCTCCTCCAGCATGTTCAGAGACTGTGCCAGGAGCCGATGTTCCTCCTCCTCAGCACTAAGCGCCTCTTCCAGAAGCCGGACGTTTTCCCTCAAGCCTTTTACCTCCTCCAAATGCCGTTTTTCAGGTTTCTTCTCGACCTCTCGTGACTCAGCATCTGCATGTAACTGACCTCGCATAACTTGTAGTTCGCGCTCCAACGCGGCATTCTTCTCCAATAATCCCTTCACCCTGAGCTCGTACACGTTGCGAAGCGCATTGCATGCCTCATCCTCAGCATTTTTGAGGCAACCCTCCACCTGTGACAGATTTTGCTGTTTTGGGGCTGTCGTCCCAACAGCCCCAAGATTTTCGTTCAGATCCTCCCTCAATAACAAAGGCCCTTCCGAAAAAAAATCTACATCGTCAACCACAGTGGCAAAAGCTGTATTTGTTACTCGTGTTGCTGCTGCCGTCGACGCCGGGGCCACCGACAAGTCACTCTCCTCCATCGCCGTGGGTTGCATCTTGCCACGCGACGGGCAAATCTCGTTAAATTCCTTGATGACACCCAATAATGTATGCTTCATTTTCTCGTCGTACAGAGCGGGGGTTGGGCGCAAAAAGGCATTCTTTGGCGGTTCAGACCACATGGGACTGGAGGCCTTCACGTCGAAAAGAAAACTGTCAAAGATGGAGGGGCCACCCAGATAATTTAAAAAAAGTTCCAATAACTGTCGCCTATTCAACGAAGGCGATGACGGAACGCCATCCGCACCGCCCTCGCACTCTCTCATTCGACCATTACCACCGGCTCTTGGGGGCTCTTGGGCCGTTTTCGGCAACCCACTCGGTGCAGCGACGCACAATGCAGCACATAGAACAGCGGACCAAAAGCGAACATGCACCGGGCCGTCGTCTTGTCCTGCTCGCTGCAAGAGCGACTTGTAGTACTTACCATCGCTCAAAAATACCTGAACGGCTTCCTCGCAGCCAATCACCCACCGCAGCAGCGACCTGAAACAAGCACTAAGAGTATTGAGATCCATCTCCCCCTGACCTCGAAGACACTTAATGACGTATTGAACGTACGCAAGAAATACGCCATTTGTTTCAGAAGGCGTAATAGGCTTTCCCAATGATAAAGATGACGCCATTTCCCGTTGATTCGTTCCCAAGAGCTGCCTCATAACCCCCGACACACACAAAAGACGATCCAACAAAAGGGCAGAATAATATTTTTGGCTGCTTCTACTGCATGGGATAGGTCTAAAAAGAGTGTTGGCTAATGCCGCCCCACAGCGAGCCGGTAACACACCCCTCGATGCCGTGGCTGCAGGTGCCGCCGGCGCCAATGAGGATAAAGAAGGAGCAAACCCCTCCAGTAGCTTTTCCGCAACATCTCCCTCACAGACCGAAACACTTAACAAAGCATGAAACACCTGTGCAGCAGCAGATTGCATCACCCTATCCTCTATTTCTAACAATACATGAAGAATTCCACGGAGCGCAGACCATTCTTCCACCCATAACGAGAATTCGCAAGAAACCAAAGTTGTGACCTGCAACTGTATGAACCTTTCAATACCTACTCTTCTGTCCTGGAGAAGTACTGCCAGGGTTCTTAATGCCTCTACCCGTGATGCATCATCAGCAATCACGCCACCAAGGGCTAATGACGACAACGGGCCTAATGCACCACTTTGAAGAAAGGCCTCTTGGGCTGCAGGACCCTCTTGGTGCGCTTCCGCCCCGCGTAGAACACAACTGAGAATGGATACCGCCTTAAAAACCACATCGTTCTGCATGTCACTCAGAGGGGTAAAGATGGCCTCCATATTCTCACCAGTATCTCCACCCTGGTTCTTGAGGGATGCGCTGCGATGCATGGCAGCCCGCAAACGCTCAGGCACCGCCTCCAATAAATTACAAACAAGACGGGCGCACCCCATTTCGCAAAAAAGCTTTTGTGTTGCTTTGTTGTTGCGCAACATGTTGTGGGCAATGGTAAGGCAGTCACAGACAATCACGCCACCATCCAATCCGCCCTCTTCCTTTATGACCGCAAACAACATCTCAAATGCGTTGTCAAAGGCAAGAATAGTTTGCAACTCAGTGTCTGTGGCTGTGATAGATGTAATAAGCAACAATCCTTCGCTTCGAAGAGCACCGCAATGGCTGTTATCGTTCAAAATGTCCAAAAGCATACCGATGCCATGTGAAGAAAGTAGCAGCTTATGTACTGCGGAAGGGTCGTGCTCCTGCAGTCGTTGCAGTATTTGTACAGCGTGAAAGCGGCACCAAAAGCTACCGGCTTGGACATGATTCAAAAACAATGGCACCTCCGGAACCAATTCATGTAGAAAGGAATCACGAATACGTCTCTTCTCCTTCTCGGAAACAGCGTAGTTGGAGGAACTGGAGGGATAACTCGTTAATTCCGTAATACCCGAGAGGACGGCGAGGGACGACTCCACAACGTCGTTGTCGTCAGGGAAAATTCGCAGAACGTTGCAGAGGTAAGAAACCTCTTTGGCCGCCATAACATAGGGTAGGTCGGGGCATGCCTGCAGCTCCTTCAACGCGTCACGTCGGTCCTGGGCGACTGTGCATGATTGGACACGAAGTATGAGTGTTCGTGTGGGAACGCGTTGCTTTTCCTCTTCTGCATCGCCTTGCTGCAAGGAGGGAGATTCAGAGCCCTCATGCTCCACCGGATGCACAACATTGCTACCGAGCAACGCCTTCACCAGAAAACTCATTCCGAATGTGTGAATATCTTGCTGCCCAGAGTCACCTTCTTTCCTTTTTTTTTCTCTCTCCCTCTCAAACCCCCACACTCTCTGCCCCACTTGCCGCCTCCTGTTGTTGTGACCAGAGCAAAGTTGAATCTGCCTGTTCTTACGGCTCTACACACGCATCGAGGGAGGAGACGGAGTGCCATCACACCCAATAAAGCAAAACAAAAAAAAAGACAATAATAATAAAGATATAAATACAACAAAATAAAAAGATAAGTGCACACACACGCACAAAAAAAAAAAAAAGAGAGAGAGAGAGAACCGCCCCACATCCTACACGAGGAATGCGTGTAGCAAATAAAGACAGTTCTGGATCACATTAATCGATTCAACTGAGAAGGATGCATCTATGCATCCTCCTTCCCTAATTAACCCTTTCCCTCGCATCTCATTTCTCGTCTTGTCCGCCTAGAAAGTCGTCTCGGGCATCACACCAAACGTCTCACGCTTCACACGCACCTCGCCCTTTGGTTTCAGCACCTTTCGCTTGTTGTATGTGTGCCGCATGCGGGCCGGCACAAGGTTGCGTTCCTCCAATGACTTCATTCTTTCCGTGAGAGGGTGAATATAACCACCATTCAAATGTCGCAGCGATCCAACAAGTTTGTCTGTCGGCGCAACATCCAAAGCCAACGGTGTGTGATGGTAACGACCAAAACTTTTCACCTGCATTTTCTCACGCTTCGCTGCGCGGCACCGCTCCCTAGCTGCTTCACGCCGCTTTTCTCGCTGTTGATGCTCGACAATAATGTCATCAAGCGCATCTGCCTCCTTTAACGCAATCTCACGCTTCGGGTGGCGGCGATGTGGAAGGGCGCGCCTGGCAGCCTGCACCGAGGTCTTCTTTGCCTTCTTTTTTTTATCCTTTTTCTTTTTCTTCTTCTTGCATTCCTCCTTCTCCGTGCTTTTCTCCTTCTTTTGCGTCTTTTGGGGCCGCTCCTGGACCTCCTCCTCCCACGTCTTGTCCGCCGAAAAATTCCCTGTGATGGGCACGTCGCGGCCATTTGTCATCATGGCGACAAACTTCTCATCCGCCGTCTTCTTCCGCTCCAGCTTCCTCACCGCCACTCGCAGCGCGTCCTGGTGGTCGTCGTGCAGCGGGTTGTAACTCTGGCCGGGGTGCGGCAGCGCCACCGCGTCACGGTTGTTCGGCCGCACATGCACGTACTTCCGCCTGCGCGGGGCGAGGGGTTTGGCGGGCAGCGCCTCGGGCTGCACATTCCAACCGGGCGCGACACGCACCGGCTGTGGAGCATTGACCGCACGCTCAGAGTCGCCGTGCCACAAGTCACGCAACTTCCCCATTTGTATCCAATGCGACTCTATGTCTGTACGCGTGCGCCCAGCCCTTCCACGTTGTATGTAATATATATATATATATATGTATTATTCCGGTGTACCACCCCACCACAATCACCACCACTAGTGCCAACTATACCACAGGCACTGAACCACTATGAACTACACACACAAGAAGCCACGCACCCAAAGAAAGAAAAAGACTCACGCAGAGCCAAAATAAAAAATAAAATAAAATAAAAGCAGCATTGACAAAAAAACGCTAAAAATAATTTCTGTGGATCCTTGTACCACAGCCGGAAAAGCCACACTCTCTCTCTTTGAGGCTTAACAATAATAACAATAAATAAATTAAACAACACTTCATGAATACTTCCCCTCGCATTCATTTTTATAGTCCTCTTTCGCTCTCTATCGCCCTCTCTCCCCAATGAGTGACAGGATATACAGAAACAAAAATGCACACATAACCAATGCGAAAAGAAAAAAAACACCTGCAGCACTCGTGCCAGCTGCCGCCGTCATTTCACAAACAGAAACCTCTCTTTTCTCACCACCGCTGTTTTTTTGTTCTACTTGTTATATTCGCCTGCCGTTGTTTATATCCCTTCATTTTTAAAACTTCTTGATAGAGCGCTGGGGCCGCGAAGCCTCAACCATCGACTTGTAGGCACGTCCCCTGTTCAGGAAGCTCTCCGCATTGCACGTCCAACGCTTGCTCACCTGGAACTGATAGAAATCCGAATAGCAGCTATTCTTGCGCCGTTTGCGGTGCATAGGTCGCTCAAATGTATCTTGTGCCTCATCTCCCCCAAATGTGGATGTCAAATGAGTTTTATCAACACCCGATGCATCTGCCCCCTCAGCGTTCTGCATCATCTGCCTCACAACCTCCTTCACGTTCCGCGGTACAACATAGCGGAAGCCGTCCTTGTCGCCACCGCGCCGGTTGATGTTCTTCAATTCCTTCAGACGCCTCGCAGCGGCGCGTCGCATCGCTGATTCTTTCCTTCCAAGGTCCTTAAAGTACGCATGGGCGTTGCTCAGAAGGGTTTCGGCGGAGACGACTTCGCTGCGCTTCTGCTCGGCGTAGTCTTCAAGAAATGGAAGGTAGGGGTACTGCACAAGGTCGTCTACATCCACGCCGTCCAAAGCGCCAGCGGACAACGAGGCGTTGCGTGTGCCTTCGTCCCCGCGAATCGCCCGTGCGATCATCTGCCGCTCTATTTCCTCCCGCGACAGCTGTTTTTGCTGTTGTGACGCCGCGCCGCTCTTTGCATCGTTGATGTTCCTCCGCCTATTTTTGGCAGGACCGCCGTTGGCAGCCGTCTTTTTCTTCTTTGCCGAGACGCCGGGCGACTTCTTTGCCGCCGAATGGTGTGACAGCTTCCCCCTCCCGCTTCCTTTTGCCGCGTCGCCCGCCTTATTCCTCGCTCCCCCCTTCTTCTTCTTTTCGCCGGCCTTGCCCCGCCGCGCCGCCGCTGCCGCCGCCTCCCTCCGCTTCACGATGAACTTCATTTTTTTTATGTATCGCCTGTTCACCGTCAATTCCGGCAGCAGCGCGTTGGTGCCCGACTTCTTTTTCGCCATTTTTTACGGCGCTAAAAAAAGGCGGGCGCACGTTTATTTGTAGTTCAAATAATAATAATAACAACAATAATAATAACAAGCAAAAAGAGAGGAGGCGTAAATAAAATGTGAGGAAAAACAGAGAAAGGAAGAAGAGGGCGGCACAACAATCACCCCGTCACGTGGCATCCGGCGGAGTGCGGCGTCACTGGGAAGAAGTGTGGGCGTCAAATAAAGACAAACGCACACACGCACACACGCAATCTGACGCGCGTACAACTTCCTCCCAAATGTAACGCGGAAGACGAGAGGAAATGATGGGATAAAACACAGGAATAAAAAGTAAAAAAAAAAAAAGGAAAGAAAGAGAGAGAAAGAGAGGCAAAATCAAGTTGACACCAACTCTCCCATCTCCCTCACCCTCATATACACGCAAACACGCATGCATGTAAATATTTATATAATTGATATTTATATTTATATTTTTTTTTTTGATGCATATACGTGTGCACACAACATGGCCCCATTAAGTTCCACCCATCCCCTCAACCCTCACCCCTTCATTTTGTTCACACGCATGAATATGCTGATAAATTGTCAGCATGACAAATTCAGTCGGCACGTATGCAGATGCCACCCCCTATTGCGGTATTTCGTTTTGCATTCCCGTCGTCTTTCTTACACAATTTACACAAAAGAAGCATAAAAAAAAACACGCGGAAAAATTTTAAAAAAAGAAAAAAAAAAAATTTGCTTTACTTCTACAGATCAGCCCTCTTTTTCCATTTTTTTTTTTTTTCTCTCTTTCCCCCCCCCCCAAATTTTTATTAATTGATTCTCCCCCCTTTTCTTCTGCTTCGACAGGCGGCACGCCACACGGTAGAATGTACACCGAAATCATTTCAATATATAAATATTTATATATTGAACTAAAGAGAGAGCTAGATATCACCTATACATGTATGTCCCCAACCAACCAACCAACCAACCAACGTCCCTCTGAGTATGCTGCCCGCGTTACATTCCCTCTGTGTGCACATACACGTATAAAAATAAATTATATCATTGGATGAAATAATACATACATCCATACATACATGCACACGTATATATATATATATATATGCACGCAGAGAAAGATACATGCAAGTGGGTACTGCAGGGCCCCTCCCTCTCCCTCTCCCTCTCTTTCACACCAATCATATTATCACACAGTTGGGAAGGTTCCACGTCGCTCACACTCAACACGCTTGCAGGAGGACATAATCAAAAAGAAAAAAAAAAAAAAGGAAAAAAAAATAGAAGAAGGAAAAGGAGGGCAGAAAAATGAGGGCAGAAAAAAAAAAAAAAAAAAAGCAGTCGGTCAACAACAACAAAACGGCAGGATTGAAAAATCACACAACACAAATCAACCGCACACGGTGCCGGCAACGCAGTCAATGATAACGACAAGAATGAAGAAATAAATGAAGAGGAAAAAAAAAAAAAAGGGAAAAGGAAACGGACGACACCAACGGGAAACCACGTAAACGTGTATGTCTGTAATGTATGTGTCAGTGCATTGTCACTCCTCGCCTATTGTTCACCTCATGCCACCCCGCAACTGGTCAGTTGCAACAATATATAAAAGAAAAGAAAAGAAAAAGAGAAAAGCCGAACAAAAAGAAAAAATTAAAAAAAAAAGGGAAGAAATTAATCCACTGCGCTATTCTAACAATGCCAACATGTAAACTAATACATTTTTATATTTTATTTTATATATGTATTCTCTCCCCACTCACTCTCTCCCCCTCCATTGGCACGCTCACACCATTCAAACTACTGTTTGCTTTCATAAATTTTTTCATTCCTTTACGCCATGTATAATTCTCGCGTATCAAGATGCAAGCTACATGTATACATATATACATATATATATAACATGCAAAGCCTCTTTTTAAAAAAGAAAAAAAAAATTTAAAGAAAAATTTTGAAAAGAAACAAAAAAACAAAGAAACTCAAAATGGAACAATCGCAATGTGCGCTCATGACAGTTGAAATGTCTCTCCTCCCTGCATGATGCTCAGTCGCAGCTTCTTGTACATGAGGTCTTCTGTGGGGTATGGCGGGAGCTTCAGGTAGCGGAAGCACGTGTTGACGGATGGTAAGGGCCAGTCCGTCTCATTCGGCAACGAGTTCCACTCGCCCGGTTGCTTGGGGTTCTGTTCCTTTCTGTCCGCCCCACCAATGCCGTCGCTGCCGCCGCTGTTTCGTCCAGACGAACCATGAAACATTGTGAAGTCTGAACGTTTGACTACCGTGATGGCCCCAAGGGCTCCCACGCCACCGACCGGTAGCCGCGGACAGCCCGTGCAGAAGAGGAGAAAACTACGTTGCTCCGCCGGTGTCAGTCGGTTCGCCAGAATATTCTGCAGCATTGTCATCTGCGGGGAGTCAGTTTGGTAGCCGTGCTCGGCGACAAGGATGGATTTGATTTCGGCAAGAGTCCAAAGTGGCTTCTTATCGTTGGCTCTGCACCCGCACAAGAGGCTCATCATTTCCTGCTCCCCGAGTGATGCGAGTGCCTCACAGGGAACAATGTCACGAAACCCGCGTATAAGGAATTGGATGGGAAGCACCGCAGACTCATACAGCAACCCACTACTGACCCGGCGAATGTATTGAGCCACACTGTCCTTCGTCAAAAGCTTCTCGGAACCTCCAGTTATCATCTCAAAATTGTCATGGCCCGGAAGTGTAAAGGGAACGGCGAGCGACTTTCACGTGGCGCCACTGAGCGAGAGCAGTGACCGCAAACTTGTGGCGACTGACCGATCCATCAGGTCCACGTCGTCAAGAGAAAGCCCCATGAAATCAATGGGCCGTTCTATTCCCTTGTTGGCAATAGCATCACCGGAGAAAAACACGCATGGAGCTGGTGCGCCTCGGCTCAGAAAAATAGAAAGCGCGGGGCTCAAGTCAAGAGGAAACACCAGTTCGTCCGTGAAGGCACGGCCAAGGGCAGATCCAATAAGATAATAACAGCGGGCACGCTCGCGATCAAACTCTGCATAGTCTCCAACAAAGGCGAAGCGATCTGTCAGCATTGTTGCCCCTCCCGGCTGTTGCCACGAAGACACTTGGAATAGGCGGCACTGATCCTTCATGGCAGACACAAATGGGTATAACCCTTCCGCCGGAGGAACCACCCTCGCATCGCCGCTACTCATGTCGCCGTGAGTACTGCCATCTTTGGTTTTGGTGGCGGGAGCCCCAGTACGCCAAAGACGTAATTTTGCCTTTTTTACTTCCTCAGCAATTAAAGTGTAGAAGTGCGCTGTGGGACCCTGTCCAACCCCAACATCCCCATCAAATTCTATAGATATTGGCAGCCTCGAGTCGGCGCTTTTTTGAAGGACCGTATACGCATCATGTAGCAGCGATTCACGACTGACGCG